TATTCAGAATGCTATGAGGTTGTTGAATGCGTGTAAGTATGCATTGCAGGACATGAGAGACAATGGCTGGGATAATTTGTTGAGTATGGTGATTGAGTTTTGTCGTGTTAGACATATTTTAGTGCCCAATATGGAGGATATTTTAGTATTCAAAGGTCAACCTAGGCGTGGAGCTCAACAGGTGACTTATTATCATCGCTTTTACGTTGATTTGTATTGTCATGTGATAAACTCAATCTTGCAAGAGTTGAATGATCGTTTTTCCGAGACAACTACTGAGCTTCTAACTTCCATTTCGTGTTTAAATCCAAGAGATTCCTTTGCAGCTTTTGATAAGGATAAATTGCTACGTCTTGCTCAGTTGTATCATTTGGATTTCAATAATGAAGATCTTTTATTACTTCGACCTCAACTTGAAAAGTTCCTTATATTTGTAAGAATTGATGAATCTTCCTTAAATCTCACTAATATTTCAGAAGTGGCTCAGAAGTTGGTTGAAACAAGAAACTCTTGTTATTTTCCATTGGTTTATAGACTGATCACCTTGGTTTTGATATTACCTGTGGCAACTGCAAGTGTTGAAAGAGCATTCTCTGCCATGAATCTAATCAAGAGTGACTTGCGCAATATTGTAACGTTTTCAAAACATGAGATCCCGTAGAATGCAGTTGTCTAAGATCACAGTTACATAGTAGGTTGTATTGCGTATTTCTTTAGTATTTTGGGTTGTATTGAATTACATTTTCTTATATATATATATATAATTCTTACGTTTTAGTGCGTTGACATATATATTGAATAATTTTTAATATTATTTAATTAAATATTAATAAATGACCTCGCTCTTACGATTGCCGATTGTCGACGTTGACGGGCCGACATTGACCGGTCAACGTCCGCCCGAGCTGAATACGAATGCTGGGTTCGTCCCTGGGCATGCCTTGTATTACAAATAAGAGTTCGGCGCGAATTACAAATAAGTGTTCGCTTCGGTTTCAAGGCATGACACAATTAGATTGATCTTTGCGTTGGCATCTCAACACTCATGGTCCATATTCCAATTGGACGTAAAATCAACATTCTTACAAGGAGTGTTGTAAGAAGAGGTATTTGTTGATCAGATTTTTAAAAGATTTTATATGTACAAAAATTAAAAATGACTTTATTCTATAAATAGTTAAATAAGATTTAATTAAGCTACGATACTATCTACATTATATAATTACTCGTTATGTTATTAAAAATTCGAAAGTATATATGAAATTCACATAAATCTATTTAGTAGAACTTGTCTGGTTGAAAAATGAAATTATGAAAAATAATCTAATTTTTAAATTTTGAAAACTAGAAAATCGTACAATTGACTAATTGTAAAAATTATTAAGCCCTTGAAAAAATGCAATCTTTCTACCAACATAGGGTCCCACAAACTGACATGTATTTTAAATAGATTAGTGCGATTTTTAACTTTCTCGAAATACTCTCAATTGCCTACAACAGCCCACTGTAGTAAAGGAATTGGGGGTGTAGAAACTGTTTGTGTATAGTAACATGTCATATGCATTGTCAGTGGATTAGACATGTAACATTCTCATTTTTTCTAAAATAGGAATGTAAAATGGGTAAGAAACAGGCCATGAGTAAACATATTGTTTTATAATTTTAGATGTTTAAGGCATGTTTGATTTTCATTATTGTAGAATAATAATGAAAAATATAATCGTTATTGGACCCACACAAGAGATAGAAATTCAAAATTGATGACTTGGTGTGATGGATAACGGTCATATTTTTCATTTTTATGGATGGAAAATGAGAAACAAATGGAAACTTAATATGTAGTATTTTAATTATTAAAATAATATTAAAAATTAAAAAAAACGATTTTTTATGCCTAGGCTTACTTAAACTTGTAAAGTTTGAAGTTTCGCTTTCACGCTTTGCTATGCTTTACACTTTTTAGAATACTGTAAAAAACACGTTTAATTTGAAATTTTTTAATGATATTTTATTTCGTGAAATCTGATTATTCAGTAAAAATAAAATATTTCTAACACACACACACACACACACACACATATATACATTATAAAGTTGTTGAATCTGATAATATTTTTTTTCTTGTTATAAAATAAAATAAAATAAATAATAAATTGAGTTCAAAATATAAAAAATAAAAATAAAAATTAATTATATGGATTGAAAATGTTTTTATCTGTGTTCACTTTTTATTTTTTTATTTTTATGTAAATAATCATTAAGAACTTGAAGTATTTTTATTTTTTGTAATTATTGTTTTTTAGGAATTTGTTTTTTAAGATCAAATTTTAGAATTTATTTTTCTTGATTTTTAATTTTTAAAATTTATTTTTTAGAATTTAATATTTTTATTTAAATCAAATTTTATATAAACACTCGTTTTCTATATTTTGAACATTTTCAGAATTTTCACTGAAAATATTCAAAACGTCAAAAATGCATTTTGAGTTTTATATTATAAGTTTATCCTTATTTTTAAAATGTATTTCCAAAAATACTAGTTTAAACACATTTTCAATGTTTTGTAAAACTTAAAACAATCAAAACGGTAAACCAAATGCACACTTCATCTTTGGTGTAGATTAAAGTAAATTTTTACTAAAATTGATTAAATGTATAGTTGACAAATTGGTGGAGCGCATATAATATGTTTTAAAATTAATTGCTTTGCTTTGAACTTTTATTAGCTTTTAATTTAGGTCAAAGTAAGGGAGCCTTTTTTTTCTCTCTCTTTTTAAATTTAAATTAGGAGTGTAAGCGATCCGATTTTACTGATTTTTGACAGATTTTCAAACCAAATCCTTTAAATCGGTTTGAGAAAAACTCAAACCTAAACCAAACCATTTTGAACGGTTTGAAAAAAACTCAAACCTAAACCTAACTGTTTGATCCAGTTTTAAACCGCCGATTTCGTCGTATATTTTTTTGTGTGTCTACTTTTATGTCATTAATTCGTTGAATTCAATATATATTTATATCTTACCAACAATAAATCTAAAACAACTAAATATATCTACTATAAATTTAAATACCAACTAAATCCAAGTGAAATCATAATAATAGTTTTTTGTTCATCTTTTTTAGGCTAAGACTTTACAATAACGTTACAATATAAATCTAATAAACTAAATATAAAGCCCAAAACACCTATAAACTAAATATTTATTTGAAAGCATATAGTTCAATAATACAGTTACTGAGACATCAATAAA